AGGCATTTGTATTTGTATTTTGAAAACAATATTTTATAATTTATTTATATAATCATTAGTAATTTAGTTATTTTTATTAGTTATAAAAATAATTACATATAGGATATTATATAATATTATTATGGTAATATAATATCATATTATATTAATTACATATCTACTTTAAACAGAAGCACGTTGTGAATAGGTCCGTGAAATAAATAACCTAAAATAAATCTTAATATTTCGAATACGTCATAACGTATAGTAAACAATAATGAAATAGGTATGTAAACATGTAATGGAAAAACGTTTCGAATCCCTGAAATTAACATTTGTTCTTTTTTATTACAACATAATAGCCTAATCCATTAGAGGAAAAATTGTATTTAAATAAGTATCTAATTTTATTAAAATTAGAACTTCAATTTTCCGTACAAAATGTGTGTTTAGATATGTATTTTTTATATTTTTAGAAAAATCTTTGAAGAACAGTTCGTTAAATTTTCAGCAAAAGGTTATAAAATAAAAAAAAAAAGATGAATTTTCACAACAAAATAATTTTAAACCGTTTGTGATTTAGATGAATTTTGTCAACATTTATACTTCTAACATTTACAACAAAAAAATTGTTACTATTTTGAGGTTTTTAAATTGCTGTATGAAAAATGTATGATTAATCTTGTTTTTATTTTTAAGTTTTATGACTACTTTATAAAAGTTGATTATTGGTTTTTTTGTGAATGAAAGTGACGACAAAACATGACACACACCACACACTATTGTAAAATACATTAAGCAGAGTGTTTTGAATTTAAAAGTATGAAGACATTTTTTTAATATCCTCGTACAGGGAGGTTCTCCAACACGTTCACCCTCAGTTTTCATTGAATAAGGAATATATTCAAATTATGATTTTTGGAATTTCGAAATATACTCACCATATTTTTAAATGCTTAAAATTGTTTGTAATACTTAGTGTCCTGCAGTGGTACAAACTATTTTTTTTAAATGCGAACTACCCCCCCCCCCCGCTCTTTTATTGAAAGGTATTTAATATATATATTTTTTTGAAAATTTTGATGTACTTAATTCAAAATTCAAATGAGTAGTTTCTTATGGTTATCAAAAAGTTTGTATTAAGGAAAATAGTCTTTCAAAATTGTTTTTCAAAAATATAAAATAGACTTCAAATTGGATCTAGTATTTACTATTCCTACTTGAGTACTTTTTGAAAATTACTTATATTGATAGATTAATATTAATGGCTAAAATGTTCAAATTATTATAGCTCCCACATTTTATAAACCCATAACTGTGGACCTTTTAAAAAAAAAGTTTAATAATTCAAAAATGACTCGAATTTTAATTATAATACGTCAACATTTTTAGAATAATAATCCACTGCATAATTTACAGTTGAAAAGGTGTGTTCCCATTTGAAAAACAGAAGTTTGTATCTTCACAGGACACTCCTTAAGTAGTATACGTACAAAGAATATCGAGAATTTGAAAACATACATGGTCTAAACTTATATTTAAAAATTCCAAAATTCGAATTTTGAATAACTACATTATTCAAGAAAAAAGGGTTTGAGCATATTCCGTGAATACTCAATGTATTTAACTAAATTTAATCAACAGTTGTTCTCCAAAAATATAATTGTTTTAAATTTTAACCATATTTCTTTAAATTTTAAATATTAATTCAAATTATGTGCTTATATAGGTAACTATATTAATATACTATCTACTTAGGACAAATAGCTTTTTGGGGATCTGGGGATATTCGTTGATTACATATATGCTAATATATTATTATTATTTAAGTCAATACACAAAGTTCTTAAATCCATGAGAGAGTGAGAACTGAGAACTTCTGGTCATATCCTGATATTTTATCCTTTTCCTTGTACAAATAAGCACAAGAATTCAATTCCACTAAAATAATAATAATTATTATTCCTTTAATCACCTGCCTAACTAGGTGTAGTCACACAATTATACTCATTAGTCATTACTAATAGTTATATTAAACAAATTATGCTTTTCTTTTTTTTTGTTTTAGAGAGGTTTGTTTACACTTAAATTGCTTTATCCTTCGTAATACTACGAGAAGTTATATTAATTTCCAAAATGTAAAAATGAGATATGTTTGGTATATTAGAACATTGATACATATTTAAAGATAGGTAATCTAATCTAATAGTATAATTTATAAGTACGATATAGGTACATATTATCAACATATATTTATCTATGTATATAATCTACATAATGTAAACGTATTATAATCACTAATCAGGGATTGGAACCGAATCTAAGATAACCGGTTTGAATCCATTGATTGAACCTTGGGTGTATCAACGAACCAGAACATAACAGGAAAACAATTTTTTTTGAATTTTTTTTGTTTTTTATACTATAAGTACATTAAAACTAGATATTTATTATTTAACCAGAGAGATTGTGTTTATTTTTTTTAGTACAATAATTATTAGAATATGAATATTACTAATACGTAGGTAATGACTATAACCCAAACACCATATTGTGATTTTGAATACGTATTTCAATGAATATTATTTAATAAATAAAGTAATCGAATCGTGAATATTTAAAAATTCAGCAATATAATAATTAGATGGAAATTAATTTTTTTAACTCTGTAGAATAATTACTATAATAATACAAGAGTTAAAGGACATAATTATATAAAAAATTGTTTATTTTAATTTTTTTTTAAATTATAATTGTTGAGTGAGAACACTGAGAACATCATGGGGACGTACACGTTTGAGAAGACGAAGAGTAGGCTGTTTATCATTTAGATCAAAATATGGCACACTGCTTGAATGTTTAATTGGTCGAAAAAAAGGGTTGATAGATTTTTTATGAAAGTTGTAATGTATACAATTTAAAGTCTGTTTAAAGGGCTTCGTTTCTGACGAACCAGAGAGAATTCGAAATTGTTCGTAATATTTTGGACTTAAAAACTTGAATTTTATTTATGTTTGTTTGTCGTATAGTTGCCCCAAATGGGGGCAGCATAGAGTACTAAGGGCAGTGGAGTTTATTTGTAAAGAAGCAGGGAGCATTTCTAACTTCAGGTGGCTTATGTAAATTATTTAAGGGGTAAAGTATTTAAATTACTTTTGAGTCGCTAGTATCTCCTTGTAGCAGTTTTGAAGAAATGTACGTTTTTCAAGACATAATAAACAATAATGAATTTTTTAGAATTTAAAATGTATGATTCGTGTTTAATTAAAATTATAGAAGAATGGGAGGTAAAAAACTAAAAATGTCCATGTTATTTAACAAAGTTTAGATATTCTAGAATTATAAAGGAAAAATATTTTAAAATAAATATTCTTGAGAGAAATATTTTGGATAAAGGTGGGTCAGAATAGATTGTTAATGTTTAGATGACATTCTTTTTAGTAATTGAGTGAATTGCTAAAAATGTATATAAATAACCAATAATTACACACGAGATAAGTCTTCTCTTACATCTCATTCACGCACCGCTACTGATTGTACTCATATGTTATATAATATTATGATTATACAGTCTATCATAATATACCCATTCTAGTAATTTTAAACAGAAAGCTTTGGTGACCGATCTGAACTCATTTTTCACTTTCATTATTATAATTAAATAGGTACTTCATTGTAATAATAAAAAAAAAATAGTTATAAATATTATTTTTTGTTAAGTCAATATTGTGTTGTGAATTAACATATTTATTAGTATTTACTCTATACCTCTTTTCTAGGAAAAAACTTTTTTTTAAATTGAAGATTGTGTTTCCCTTTATATTGTTATTCTTATTCAGTTACGTTATTATTTTTTTTTTCAATTTAACGAACGTAGTGAATGTAAAATGCTTATTTGAAACGAATGTTTATAAGACTGACCATTATTGTGTGTACATCTTTAACATATTTATTTTATATGATATTGTACGAAAATTGCACACGAATAATAGATAATTTAGTAACTATTTCCAAGGTTACATAAGCAAATCGATTTCAATATAATAAAAACTATAGAATATATTCGTAATCCTAGAAAATACATTTTAAATGGTACTAATTAACAAAAAAATGAATTATTAATATTGAATATTGTCATTACACAATCATTTTTTGCTGTTCCTCCTGAATTAACTTTTTTTAAAGAAGTAATCTGATTACTTAATTATATAAAAACAATATACATACATGTTGTACATACATTTGCCTTTAATAATACATTTCATAAAATTCTGATTTTTGTAACATTTAAGGAGGTATACTTTAATAGTAAGTATTAGGTATAATTTTCAAATATGTCCTTAGATTTTTATACCATTTAGAAGTGGCTTGGTGACACAAACTTCTTTTTTTAAAATTCGATATTCCTGTACATTTTTAACTAAATAGATGACTTTTTTTTAAATGTTGATGCGCCTACTTAAACCAAATTTTGAACGAGTTAGGTAGTTGTTGAGTTATTTAACATTGTGTACTAAAGACCATATTATGTTTGGAGGATATTGAATCTATAATTATTTAAAATGTATGGTGATTAGCATGAATCTATGAAAATTTTAAAATTGTCGAGAAACAGTCAGAGTACCTACCTATCTGTAGTAATTAATGCTAGATTGAATTTTACATCTGATATCAAATTTAACAACTTTTCAAAGTAAGAGAAGGATACATCTCGTAAATGTTATGTTACACTCCATAGATAAGTTTATCCACCCCGTTTGCAAACGTACCAAGTATAATAAATGAACACATTATATTATGTGCTGTTTGGGACAATATACAATGTGAGCTATGTGATACAAATACATAACAAATATAAATCGTTGGACATCTGCAATGGAGCTATAGTAATATTGTAGTAATATCATAAGCAAATCACAACGTGTCATAATCCGATTACTAAAACGTTACCATATGGAAGAACTGCAATGTGGTGGAAGACAACTCAATGTCACAAGGCACCTCGAACATTGTGTGTTATGCACACGCAACATTCGCGTGTAGTAGGTCGAAGTACCAGTGGTAATTTTGTACCTTACATCAAAAACAGTATTTTTTGAGTTTACACATTAGCTCCGTGAAATTTCAATTTATTTTGGACACGAACATTTTTCGTTTAAGATAAAGTTATTAATATCGCGAGATTGTGTTTGTGTAAGCCTCATAGGTACCTACCACACATGTTCGAGTTTTTCGAGTGAGTGTCCAATACTGGTGAATACAATTTTTTACTATACGATTATTTATAAATTATTATACTATGCTATCATTTACTTTAAACTCTTTCCTTATTATCATACAATTATCTATTATTATATAATATAGTATGTACATTATTCGGAAAGTCAGTATAGCTATAAACATAATACGGCTTCTGTCTCTATCCAATTAATTTACATGCTGTTTGGTATAATAATAATGTACATATACCTACATTATAAGCACCGAAACAATATTGAACATATAACATTTAAAACAATTATATAATTAAAATAGTTCATCTTTTCAATCCGTTGTTTTTATTTTTAGAAGAGATATTTATTTAAATGCAAAGGGGTTCCAATAATGGTAGACAATCATTTCTCAAAAAGTATTAACGTTTTAAGCAATATTTTTCTTTTACACAATTGTATGTAATTTTTAAGATAATATTTTTCCTAAATGGTCAACATTACATATTATTATGCAAAAACGAAATTTCGTACCAAGTAATTAACTGGTTATTACTCTTAAGTATTTAAAAATATAGATAAGCGAAGAAGTGGACCTACATTAATTCTTGAGTTAGATACCCCTTGTTTATATTCCCCCACACCTCAATACTTTAAATTCGTATAAGTGATTTCACTAACAATATAATATAGTAAATAGTTGTACTACTATTAGTATTTTTATCAGAGTACTTATATCTATCTATTAACTACTCTTTTGAAATTCGAGTTTGGCATATCAAAAATTGAAAATTTTGAAATTCTTAAAAAAAATATTCTGCATTGAAATAGGAAATTCCAAAATATATTTTCAAAATTCATTTGAAAATAGTAAAATATATTATTTTGTTTGAATGTTGCTTTATAATAACTTTTAGTTGAATAAAAAAAAAAATATTTCCAAAAACGTTAATATCTTTTGAAATCTCCCACTGAAATAATCATATTTTATAGGTAAATTATTGTATCTCTATATATTATTAATTGTATTAAGCTTTGCCTTATAAGTGTTGAACCTTGGCCCGCTCTGTACTAGAGTTTGGATTGTTAATTTGGAACCCGAATCATATTATACACTTGGTAAACTAATTAGACATAATTTAATTACAAAATCATTTTTTACGTTTTGTAACATTTAAATTAAATACGAAAGACCAATGGATCGCAGATATCTCAAGAAAATTAGGTTAACAAATTCTAAAATCTATGCTTTTTATAACGATTTATAACGATGTGTCATTTTTTTACAAAATGAATGGTACAATAGACTTCTACGAGTTACTCAGGCTACCAAAGAGTAGATACTTAACCAAATCACTTGAACCCATTTGCAGTAACACCAAGTAATAATAATTACGCCTTAAACCTTTAGCTCTGTTCTCTTCTCCAGTAATACAATTGTAGATTTTGAGTTTTTTCAATTTATTAACCAAGTTAAAAATTTAAGTCAATAATCTGACTAATAATTTGTAGGTTTTCGTTGTAACGCATACATTATATTCATTTAGCAACGTACATCTTACACATACTTTTTGGAATGTTGATAATAAACAATGTTAGTTATAACAATTTTGATTATAAATATGTACTATTATTGTGATTTATAATTAGATACTGTTTATAGACACAAATGGTTTTTTCTACATTTTAATATAAATTAATTCGAATGTTATTTAGACTTTAGAAAAATTTAATAGAAAATTTTTAGAATATTGTTCGGTTACATTTGTACATTTTATTGAACAAATAATTTACCTATTGTTATTGGCTATATATAGAACTAGGATTACTGCAACGTCTACAATTGTAAATAAGATTTATGAATTGAGTCTGGTTTTGATTTAAAATTCACTCTATTTTTCTTTAATATATTGATGTTTAGCCATTAAACGAGTGTATTACAATGTCTACAATGATATAAAAAATTAATACCCCATGGTAAGAAGTAAGAACTTAAATTAATTAACAATAAAATATTAATTTTATAATAAAACAAATCATATATACGCAATGCCAGGTTTTAATATTTTTTAAATTAAAAATACATAATAATAGTGTGACGACACTCTTTACTGATCTTGACCTATATGACAACATGCGTAGGTACATTTTTACACTCCAATTAATGTTTCCAGAATTTGCTGATATGCAAATTATACATATAGTACAATCCAATATTAGTTATCAGATAAACAAGCCGTTAATACTTACCAGTAAGTACACAAATAAAATATAGGTATGTAGGTACTACCTGTATTGGTTATGGATTTTATTTTATCTTTACAATTAGAAATTAGAGCGATTTTTTTGAAGATTGTGTTATGGTAACTCGTTATTCTGATCAAAAATAAAATAGGTATAGCTACGTAAGCTTCAATTACTTTCAATAACTTATTTTTGAACAACTATCCTTACATTTTATCGAATTTTTTATTATAACTTTTGTATACAGGCATACAAATATCGTATTATAGATATTATGAAGATAACTATAATTGAAACACGATGTTTAATAGAAATTTGCATGGTTCAACAGCATTTTAATACAAATTAAAGGGGACACTACTCAACTTTTAAATGTATTGAAACAGGTATCTCCACAAATTCATCTAGAAGCATTAAAAAAAAAAAATTGTTGAAATTGCTAATCTATTCTGCTGATCTGAAACTATGACAATCCGTTACTGTTAGTTGCATGATACTAATCAAAAATCATTGAAAAGATAAAGCATTTACTTTGCTTGAGATTTAAATAATACTTTTCTGTTTTAAGTATAATGAAATCGTAGTTTACTCAATATTATGATCATAAATTAATAATAATTATGAATACCCAATTATTCTGTACATATATACGTCATGTCTATAACATTACCAAATTTTCATTCAACTCAACTTAAAATGCAAATTAGCGCATCTACAGTAGCCATTCAAGCCTAAATTATAATTGCTATTTGCATTATTCATAATATTATTATTCCGTAAAAACAACAAGTCTACACGAGGCATACCTGAGTGAGCAACGATTGCACCACCTCGCTCAGTAGATACTAAATACATCTGTTCGAGTAACTAGTAACGACATTCTGTATCATATTGTTAGACAATTTTTTTCAGTAGTTCCTACATTTTAATACCAAACTTACTTTAAGTCGTTTATGTAAATACTGCATCGATTAAGAAATCGTTAACCTTAAAACTCTTTGTAGTTTGTATGCCAATGACCATAGACGCCGAGCCTTATTTATTTCATTATTATTACTTGAAGACTTATTAATTTTTCAGTATTTGTATGGATAACGCATATAAGAAAAAAGTGAAGTGCAGGTATCTTTAGAATTAGAAGCCTCGCATAGTGAATTTTCGAAAAAAAATTCTCAGTACAATGGTGTACAACTCTGACTCAGAACGTAAATTATTTATATTGCAACATGAATGATTGTATTTTATATTTGTATGACGCTGCCGGGCATTTCAGTCAATAATTCAATCTCCTGTTAACATAATTTAAATCCATAGTAACATTTTTAAGTAATTTTTAAGTAGGTAATTTATATAGTTTTTTTTGTCTTTAACTCGAATCAACAATTATTAAATATGTTAACTTTACGATGTATCAATGAACCCTAAAATCGATTAAAGATTGTAGTGCTCTCATTTAAAAACGAGTTACACGTTTTTTATAAAATCAAAAATGTATCCACTTAAAAACTTGTATCTTAAAAATAAAATAATATAAAACCTCAACACTTTATAAATAAAAAATTGTATAGTAGCTGCAGGTATTTTTTTTTTTTTTTTTTTGATACCGACTATTTATTATAAAAAGAAGTGTCCTAATGAATAATATCATACTATAGTATTTTACTTCTATTATGTTTATTGTATCCTTTTCAGACATTTTAAATGTAATTATATGTATAATTATGTCATGTTGTTTTTCAAAATAAAATCTTTCATTGTCAAAAATATGTTTAAATAATTCAGTAATTTATGTGCAACTATACAATTGATTTCTTCAAAAAAAATTAGGTTTCTGTATTCGATAAAATAAGTGTCCTTGCTTGGATCTGAGAGTGTGTAGTGTGTGCATTTTCTCCGAATCTCAGTATATTATCACGAATTTATGACCATATTTATCATTAGGCGACTGACTGATATAAAAATATGTGCTGTGGATTATAATGTTTTAACTTAGCGACATTAAAATAGTGATATTAGATGTCAATAGTATGATTCAGGATGTGAAATACCTTGATCAATGAGCAGTGCACCATTAATTATAAGAGTAATTGAAATTAAATTATAATATAAGTTCACGCTGTAAAAAAGCCACCTATTTAAAATATAAACACAATTTTTTAATTCCTCCACGTACGTAGATACTAGGTACTTAAATGTATGATAAATATCGAACGTTGTTTTAATCACAATACCAGAAATTATTAATTATTATAAAAATATAAACACCTACCTACGGGTTAATTGTTTATTTTTCTCCCATATCATCATTTATAATAATTATCATATGTATTATTACTGACGTCTTGACTTATTAAATAGCTGTGATAATCATGATATAATTATCTATAAGACTTTTATTGTAATATTGAACAACTAACGTGTACTTACCTATGCGATTGAAAATAATACATAGATCTTATAATATTGTATCTCAACCTATTTGAAAAAGTACTAGGTAGTATTAACTTCCGTAAACAAAAAAATAGTAAGGAATTACAAAATCAATTGTAGGTATGTGAGCTGATAAATCGATGAAAACATAATAAAATGATGATGAATCAATCAAACATAAAAATAAATTCATTTCGAACTTTATAACCGTAGTTTATTTTTTAATTTGAAATGACTCGTCAACATTGGCCATAGGGACAGTACCTAAGTACTACCTAGTATATATTATAAAATATACATAGTGCTCTTGTCTTAGCAAACAAACATACTTTAAATTAAAATCTACCTATTTCATAAGTATCGCTAGAT